AAAAATTTTTTTATTCAGAGCTTTATATTATTCAATGCTCTTAAACCAAAGTTCTTGCACATACATTAATAATTCATTGTCGAGGTTGACCACCATTGGTTAATTCAATTAAATACTAGATTTGCAGTACAAACAAGTAGCCTACTCTCTTTCAAACCAAATAATCTACTCTCTTTTAAACAAACTAATAACCTACTCTCTTTCAAACAAACAAATAACCTACTCTCTTTCAAACAAACAAAAAACCTACTCTCTTTCAAACAAACAAATAACCTACTCTCTTTCATACAAACAAAATAACCTACTCTCTTTCAATCATTGCATGACTCAAACTCCAAAATTGAAGTTCTTCAGTTTTATTTGTAAATTTTTGTGCGTTTTAGTATGAATAAGTTACGAAATGATTATTACTATCCCTTCAGTAATTATGTTTAAATTGCCAAGACGTAATGGACTCACAGTAGTCCTGCCCAATTAAAGTGTACTCCACTGGTTATCACTTAGGATAACAATTAGGGCATTACTCACTGCCCCATTATGCCAATATTGCTTCTAATTGCAACAACATCAACACTGTTATCACTGCTGCTGATTGTAGAACGATAGTTGGAGTTGTAAATATGATTCATAGTACAATGTCCACGGCTTAGCACAAGGTCAAGAATCCAGTTAACAAATGAGGAAATTGATTCCAATATACAAATACAGTCGCAAACGTTTGCTGTTGAAACTAAAACGAGAATGTGTTTATCATTGTTTAATAGGATATCACTGGGATTTTATTCTGGGATCTTTGCAGCCATATGTAAACACTTTGACACGTTATTCAACATTTTAAAAGAAACAAAACTATAATATAATATTGTTGTGTCCAATCTCCTTCCGTTTTCAGTATATCTGTCTGTATACGTCTTTAAAATTACATTCATTACTCATTGACGGTTTGGTCTACAGCGTTGAAATTCTGCAAAGTTGTTAACCTTATTAGCCACTATCCTTGTGCAAAATTTGAATAAAATCCCTAAAACCGTTCTAATATGGCGGATCTTTTAAATATTCGATGCCATATAACACGAAAACATTGTGACATTGCCTTAGTTAGGACTAATACCAACTGAGAAGTTTTTTTTTTTTTTTTGTAATGAGAGTTGAACAAAAAATATTGCTCAGTAGCCATCCGATGTATGATGAATGTAGGTAGTAGAATGTACTGGTATTCTCAGGTGGTATAACAATGAAAAAATGAAAACTATAGAAATGTCAACACAAATAACCATCGCTAATAATAAACTTTAATCAAAGGATTTCAGATTGTAGTTATTTCGAAGCAAATATGAAGGATTGTTATAGTGTCAAATGGGAGGAATTTTACTTTATAAAACAAGTGCCTCTAGAATATAAGAAAGTAAAATATTCAATTTCGATTATAAAAAACACTATTCGACAAGTATGTCTGTAGAGAAGGCTGTGTGGATGGTTCCAATTGGTCTCCTTTGACGACGGAAAAGGAAGTGGGTTCTTGCAATATAACCACCATAGTGCAACTGCATAGCATTTTGTTGGTGTAAAGTAGACCATATTAAGCTATAAGAAGTAGCTACATACATGTTACATACATGTACATACATACATGTGGTAGGCCTACATACATGTTTAAAACTATTTTGGTCCTCATTTGATGTACATTAATATAAAATTAATTGCTTGCCATGGTAAATATACAACTATTCATAGTAACCGAATAAACATTTGATACAAACCAATTTAAATGCATACCTAAGTAAGTGAAATACTACGAGGCGATATTTAATTTTAACGTTAAAATATATTTTAATATTTGAAAAATAATACTTGTAAACAACAATAATTGCATCATCTTATACCCACACATTAACAAGGAATGACAGTTACCTCCACAACAAATCAAAATGTTTTGAAATGATAGAATAAAAAGGATTTGCAACAAAAGGAATATGTCTGGTATCACATTTTCTGTCAAGTAAAAAGGGAATACTCCAAAGTTCCGCTATTTAAAAAAAACACAAGAAAATATTTGTAAGGAAAATTTGTAAGGAATATTTGTACGTCATTTTGCTTCAAGAATAAATTATTTTAAAAGACTGATAATTGTACGTGGCTTGCATGACGCATTGTAAGTTTACATAAGAGACTAACGAGGTAGTTATTTTTTGTTATCACAGAGCCTAATTATGCTCTACTTAGCGAGCGAGTGGTAACGAAAGGTGATTGCTGTCATTGAGGAGCGACTGCGAAACCGAGCCTCTAACATGGAGTAGGTTGAGACGTAGGAAAATGAAGTAGAAGGAACCTTTGGAAAGTGTCCGGGACACCCATTCTGATCATTGAACCATAGGAGGTCATATGTCAAATCCAAAACTGCAACCTTCAATTTTACTTTTTATAAAATTGCAGTTTCACTTCAAATGTATTTATATTGACTAGCAAGCGTATAGATTGAGGGACATAGGAAAATGAAGTTATAGGAACCTTTGGAAAGTTCTAAAAAAATCATCCATGGTCCTTAAAAGGACTTATTTTAAAACTAAAACTGATTTTAACGAATTTATTTGTATGGAATAAGCTATTACTGCAGGTAGCGCTGAAAAACACCAGCCGTTCAAATTGGTTCAAATTGGGTAGCTGAAAATGTCCAAATAGCAAGTATTGTCGAGTTTGGTATAATTTTATATGTCTTGACAAAACTAAACAAATAACATAATGAAAATAGAAATCGGACAACTAATAACAAAATGGCAGGTAATAATTATTAATACAATGGTTATAAAACGTAATTTTTAACTGATATTTTGTACTAAATTTCATCTAAATCGTGGTCCATCTAATTGGTGGTCCGATTCCAATTTTCCTCATGCTAATTGTTTAGTTTTGTCAAGACCTGTAAAATAATACCAAACTCGACCATACTTCATTTTTGAAAATTTTGCTCTACCCCCTACCACTACTGCCCTAGGGCAAAATTTTCAAAATTAACCATCATTATCGTAGGCCCTTCATATCTAAAAAGGTTGCCCTAAACTGATTTCAAACATATCAAACAGTTTAAAAGTTAAGGGGGTGCAATTTACTTTCCAGCCTCTCTGTATATCCTGTATGTGTCCGTTAGTACGATTTAAATGAAATTTAGTACAAACATGTAACACTACGTTCATTCGAACGAGTTTGCGAACGTCGTTCGGACTATGGGGACGGGTTTTATGGGTGGAAATTGGGTTTACTTATTTTTAACCTAAAATATAGCATTTATGATTTTATAGTATATAATTATATCTCAGCAAATAAGATAATTGAGATTAACTAAACAGTTATTCCCACCAAACGATATTTAGGGGGAAATCACGAATCGTTTATTTTTTTAATAGTTTAAATGTGTACTGTACCGATCAGCATTTTACTTAATTATATATCCCTTTTGCAAAATATATCGAGGTTATTGGCTTATTTATGTACAGGTATACAAAATATTCTGTAAATTTCGAGTCTCACTCACTAATAAAATATAGTTTTTCTATAAATGTCACTTATTATCATATAAAATTGCAGATTTTCTACCGCCTGCCACTTTACAATCGTAAAATAATTTTTTTCACAACTACTTTGAACAACAAAAAGGTGCCATATTTACCAATTTCTTGAGAATCTATCATAGTTCCAGTAGCGTTAGTAATGACTTAGGCTAACCGTAATTACTGCTACATTTTAGTATCCGAACCTTAGTTCAACCTATCGGCAACCAAAATTATATAGTCACCACTTTCACTATTTTAAAAATCGGACCTTCACCAAAACAGTCGAGGCTGAAACCTTTCTTAGAAAGTTGGCAAATCCAACGCCAGCAAAACAATCAAATAAGTTTACGATTAAAAATCAAACATGGTACAAAAATCAAGAATCTTCCAATTAAAGAGGCCTAACTGCAATTGTGGCACCGGTAGTGATGAGGTACAACAACTCTTTGGCATCTTCAGTTGGCATCCCTGGCTCGCCATGGTGCCAACTATCGGGCCTTATACTTTGTTTTATTGTAGAGCAGATTCGTCACCTGGCCCGGACCTTGCATGATTGTCGAATGGGATCGAATTTCTGAATGACAACGAGAAATAGTTTCGTTGTTGTAAAAAAGGCTTTATGCGTATCAGCTCAAATTTGTCAAGCTTAGTTTTGTAATAGGCTTAAATTATTTTTAAGATTAAATCAAAAAAATATCTGTAGTTGACACATATTAGAATTTATTTTCTAGTAATTTTGAAACAACAAAACTATTGAAAACTCTTTTTTAAAAAAAGACAAAAATGACTAAGAAAATTATAATTTGCACTTAAGCTTAGCATTACAATAGGTAGAGCTTGAGATGTACCGTGTCAACGTGCATTAAGCATGATTTTAAAATAGAATAGGGAAAATTAAAGTATGTGTTACATATAGATAATGTAAGTTATATTGAAAGTGTTTATACTACATATCAACAGAATTGGATCTTAAATTAAGTTAATAATTGATAATGTTTAGTCTGTTTCCGGACCATTATTAGCATGGAAACATCTTCAAAAGAAGTACAATTTCAAAACTGTAACACACCTGTAGTCATTATTATATCTTTAGCTTTATAAAATCTGAGTAAAGTTAACATCAATACGAATTTTTAGGTAAAGAAAACGTATACAATTTCATTACTTAGTAAACAGAAATCTTTATCTGTATATGGAGCTTATTACTTTTGACAGCATTGAAAATAGTAAGCAGTTAAAGGTGATTTTAAAATTTTGGCTCTATATTTTGTTGAAAACTATATTAGGTACTCAATATCTGTACACATAAATTTACGTATTCGTCTTTATATGTATGCAGGCCTTACAACATCATTGCCACATCTATAAAATACATATATGGTTTGTAGAGTGTTAATACTTTGCAGTTAGTAATTTAGAAAATATACGTCATAAAATAATAAATTTACTCACAAACTATCAGACATCTAACTCATCACAGCGACTGCCAAGAAAGCCAGACTCGTCGCCGACCACACTCCCACGACGCCTCCCTTGCTTGGACTAGGTGCTTCGGTCGTGGATGTAACATTACGTCTCGGAGATTCAGAAGTAACATTTCTTGGAGATTCAGAAGTAACATTTCTTGGAGATTCAGAAGAGCTCGGTTCCTCCGTCATGGTCACATTCTCGAAGTTAGTTGTAGAGTCGTCCAACACTTCAGGAGTCTGGTAGTCCATGATGGCCTCGATGTCCGTGGAGGAAGGGACCCCTGGGGTGTCCGAGGAAGAGAGCATGTCATGGGTCGTCCCCTCGGGCCCCTGGGCAGCCACGAGACAGGCAGAGGAGAGCAGAAGACAGCGGAGGAACATGTCGGTGCGAGCGCAGCGGCGAGACTGAGCGTCCACGCGATAACAGAGAGTTTATGTGGCGAGTGATCGTCGAGGCCGTCACTACGTCACGGGGGTAGCGTGACGTCACAGGAGAGTGATAGTGACGTTATACGATTATAACATATGATGACACAGAAGTGAGAACGACATAGAGGGTGGTAGAGTTAATTTTCAACTCTACTTCAAATCATCAAGAGTTTTACTTAAAATCCTTCAAAATGTAGTAGGGTAAATTTTTTTTATTATTTAGTTACAAATAAAGTGATTATCACAAAAATGCATTCATGTAGGCTACTCCCAAGAAAGTACGAAAACCTATAAAAAATCTTAGTTTAAGAATGTTCAAAAAATGCATGAACATCTACGATAAGAAAATATAAACTTTACTTAACCGTCTCAAGCTAGTTGGTTCATAATGAAAAAAAAAAAAAATACAAAATATCCTAAAAATGTAGCAAATATTGCTAAAGACACATCGGGAAGAAGCTCAGTAAAAATAATAAATCTTTTTGATAATCAATCTATCGAACATTGTCGAAGTAGTATCAAGTGTTTTGGCACACTAAACTGATTGTGATACAGTTTTACAGCTGACTTAGTAATACATTTGGCTACACTGTGTTTACAAACAAACGTGGAATAAACAGTAGCAGTGCGAAACTGACCATGAGAAAGTTATTTAGCACCTGTAAGTGGAAAATAAAGCGCAACTCAAGCGTTTCAAATTGGAATTACAGTAATTGGAATGCAATTATCTTCATGTAGGTTTCTCTACTGCAGAAATCCCTCGATTAATACAAGTAAGTCATGTCATCATTTATTACAGTTTTAGAATCGTGTATCCACTTTGTATGGTAATGGGTCTAGTTCAACCGTTTTTGGTTGATATTACCTTGAAATAATTTATAGTACATGGACTATATGACTGAACATACACATTATCCTTACAACGACGAACGGACTGTGACTGAAGAGACATAACAATCGTAAAATAATTCTTTATCTTTATTAAGTATAGTTTAATGTTGTGTAGTGTTATTGATGCTAAACAGATTTGTTTTTAAACACGATATGCCCATTTTTAGCAAAATAAAATAAAAATCGTGTCTTCCTCCTCTATACTAATGTGAAATACCTCCGCCGCAGCAAACCTGCCGACTAAGCGAATTTCCATTTGTCTGAATTGATTTTCAGTTAAATATATTTTAATAACATTAGGTTTAACGAGTACCTAGGTTTGATGTTATAAGGAAACTAATAAAGTGTGTTTTTGAGTGAAATATTGATAGCTTAGTACAAAATAAATAAATTTGCCAAGTTTGATCAAAATATATCCATAAACAAGCGAACTACAACATTTGACAATATTCTCCATAAGAATAACATGGGAATTTTAAATTTAAATTTTTTTTAATTTTCTCCGTTACTAATAATCGAACAAAAATACTTTTATATACTAAATTATTTGTTTTTTTAAGCTCTTTAAAAAGGTTTAAAGAGAAATAGGGAAATTTTGTGTTTTGAGGGTCAAAAGTGAGAAAAACCAATTTTTACCCCATAAAACCCCCCGTAAAGCCCCGTTCCCATGGTCCGATTGTGCTGGTTCGCGAACTCATTCAAGTTTATCCCGCTTTACACCTTTCAACCAAATTTCATCAAAATCGGACAAAAATTACTCAAGTTATCGCGTTCACGGACGTATATATATATATATATATATATATATATATATCTTTATATACTGCAGGATAACACTACCTACCGCATTGGATTGCAGGATATTACTCCCCGCGAGGTAGCAAAGTTTGGTAGCGTTATGCCTGCATTTCAAACACTTGGAAGCCGGGATAACACTACCTAGCACTCAGATTGCAGTATATCACTACCTCACTCCAATTTTATTGTTTTTCACCATATCACTACTTGCAGGCTTAACACTACCCAGTGATACCAACTCCTAAAATCTTTTAGACGCTAATATGCTTTGTTTGTTTTGTCTAACTTATTAATTATGATAAAACGGCAATTTTTAAGTGATAAATTTATCCTAAACAGTTTAAGATGTTGAATTACCGGTACTGAATCACAAAACATAAAATTATTTAGTTCTCGAATATGGAGTTTAATTTTAGACATATTTGCTCAATTCTAATCACGTTATACTATATTTTTTTTATCAAAAACGTTTAGTTAAATACCAGCTTTCATTTTAGTGGTTGACTATTATGATCGAATGTATCTAAAGCACGCTGCAGAAGCATGGCCAACAAAACAAAGCTATTTATCATTGATTGATAGTTAAAACTATTTTAATTGAAACATTAACGTCAATTTTGACGGGTCTCCTCTAGTACTTTTAATTAAAAAAAAAACATTGAAATAAACTGTAAAAATATAAAAATAGAAAATCTTAGCAAAAGTTAAAATTGTGAACGGTAACGGCTCTTTTTCCGTAGCCATATACCATTCTGAATACACGAGTAAAGGTTATACATCTCTATTGTTATTATTGTATGTCTTTATTATTATTAGTTATATAGAAATCGGTGTATTACGTGACAGATACGACGAAACTTGTGTGACATAAGGTCGGCGCGTCTTTCGCCTAAGTATTATATGGTCAACGTAACATATTTTGAATTAATCAATCAATAATTTGAATTATGTCCATTTAATATATGACCTTTTGTTACCCACAGTTTTTATTATTTTTTCGACTATTTGCCAGGCTATTTAGCCTACAAATAATTTGAAGACATATAAACATTTAATTTTTTTTCAGTCGAGTTTAATGAAGATTTTAAAAATAGTTAAACGGTTCTTAGCCTAATTATTTGAAGTTATACTAAAAATATAGACGAGCTGATTATTATTTTAGATAGTTATGTATATCAATTTGATATAATTGCTTTAACTGAGTCTTGGGTGGATGAATCAAGTGGGAATGTGAGTATGGATGGTTATAACGTGTTTATGAACAAAGAAAGTAGAAATCGTAATGATGGTGTGATTGTTTGTGAAAAAGTATTTTTCTGCGTGCATGGAGGAGGTTGGTATTATGTTTTGTTTGGTATTAAGGTTGGTAAGTGTTTTGAGCAACATGTGTTAAAGCATAGACAAAAAGGACTAAATAAAGACCGTCAGCTGTGCTGCGGTTACCATAGACACAACACTGGGAGCACCATGTATGTACGCGCTACGTAACTACGCGGCGCTCCAAGCGGTGTGCGCCAGAACCTATGGTAACCATAGTAATTACAGCAAGGTTGACAGTCTATATTTAATTATTTTTGTATATGGTTAAAGTAGAGGTAACATTTGGCGGTGCGCGGCTTTCCCTGTTATCGGTGTACAGGAGTCCGTCTAGTGATCTACAGTATTTCAATTTATCGACGACCTTGAAGCCTACTTAGGTTAATAGGGTATAGGAAACACTGGCTGGTCGAACGTCTGGTTGGCGACATTAATTGCTGAATTTTGCCAAAAAAAGCTAACAATATCTCACACCACTACGTGAATGTTTTATATGGTTCAGGTTTTATTAGTTGTATCGATGTGACAACCAGAGTTACAGAAGATACAGAAGGCTATCTGGATCATTTTTTCACCGACTGTAAAAATAATAACTTCATTAAATCTGCTATTATAAAACGTGCTCTAACAGATCATTTTTTCATGGTTGCACAAATACAAGGTCCGAAAGATTTCTCAAAAGCTACTTCAGATTTACAAGCCAAAATAGAGAAAACTTTTTTTAGATTTTTCTGTTGGAACCCGCCTTATATTTGATACGGCCTGGTCTGTTATGTTCAATAAGGTACAAGAAATTATTTCAATGTTAAATTCTTAATAAAAAATAGGTATTTACCTTTGTCTACAGCTCAAACTGTTGTAACTTGAGTTACGGCCATAACTTGAATTTACGTCGTTTTCAATCCGAGTTATAATGCCGAAACGGCCGTAACCCAAGTTACAACAGTTTGAGCTGTAGACGAAAGTAAATATTTATTTTTAATTGTCATCACAGCTCAGGGGCAAAAGCATAGATTTTAAATTTATAACCTTATAAGAACAACGCATATCTTTGCACTCGAGCCCTATCAAAAATAGGTATTGCCTTTTTAGTCAAAAATACTACGAAGTAGTTTGCAATCAGAGCCAAAATAAGCTTTCCCCTACAAAAACGTTATTGAATTTTTTTTTTACTGCAAATGCTAAAGCAAGAGCTTCCTTTTATAAAATAATAGTGGTTTAGTTACCTTTACTTTCGTACTTATATTTGTCTTACCAGTTCAGGGGCAAGCCACAACAATGAGTAAGCTTCCTTTTCTATAATTTGTAAATAGCTTCTCTCAGCTGTTGAGAATGTGCGTGACTGATACGCTATCAGGTTCTCTACACCATCTGGTAAGACAACACGGGTCCCAGGCCTACTGAGCTAGCGTCTACGGACAATTTTGAAAGGTAAACTGTTGTCTTAAAGAGCCTAAGTAGGAGTGTTCAGGGCCTTTTACCTTGTCAAAAGCCTCAATACAACATTCTCATAAAATTAAAGGATGTGTGTACTTCATAAGCAGGTCGTAAATTATGACGTGATGTAGTGGAACGAATATGAAATGACAAATGGCTTTGACATAAGCCCCTAAAACGCTCAAAAGTAAAACAAATAATTGTAATATTTAAACAAACTCGGAATCAAATTGAAATTATCTATGTGTCAGGGTAGATATCTCAGTACAGTAGAACATATCTTTTGTGTAAAAAAAAAAAAAAAACAGTTTGTTGTTCGTCTTTGTTTGCTTTTGTTGATATTATTTGCAACTAGCTGTGTGCCCGTCCTACGTACGGGAATCTTGTAGTAGGTTTGAACCTTCTTATATTCAGAACAGGAGTTTGTTTGCATAAGGCTAGGCGCACACGAGCGATTATTTTGAGGCGACTATTTCATCGGCCGATCTGTGCATCATGTACTCGTATTTGAATGGAAGCGTGCACACAGGCGAT